GGGTGCTGCCCCGGGGCTGGGGGTGCCGTGGGTCTGGGCGGGGGGCTCTGACAGAGGCGTCTCCCCTCACAGACCGACTTCAAGACAGTCGATACAGACGTGAACACAGACCAGGACATCGAGAAGAACCTGGTGGGTACTGGGAGCCCTGGGGTCGGGTCCGGGCTCTGCTGCTCCCCGGGCGGGGGCTCTTCCCACGGGGTGTTTGTTGTCGGTAAAGCCACAACCCCACAGCCCTTCAGCCCCTCTCTCTGCTCCCCACGGCAGGACAAGATGATGTCTGAGCGAGCTCTGCTCAAGGAGCGTTACCAGGAGGTGCTGGACAAGCAGAGGCAGGTGGAGAACCAGCTACAGGTGCAGCTGAAGCAGCTCCAGCAGAGGAGGGAGGAAGAGATGAAGAACCACCAGGTATGTGGCCAAGTCCTCTTGGACTCCTGCCCAAACTGGGGTGCTGAGCAGCTCAGCACTAATTCCTGACACGGACCTGCCCCTTCCCCCATAGTCATTGCCATCTATCTTGTCTGGGGCTGCTGAAAAGATTTTGATGACGCCTGTAATCCCATAATCTCTCTTCAATTGATCTAAAATAATAAAGGGATTTAAAGACAAAACTTTTCCTTGGGAGTTTTGCTCTTTTGACTGCCTGGTGCCTGTTTTCCTGCAGGAGATCCTGAAAGCCATCCAGGATGTCACCATCAAGCGGGAAGAGACAAAGAAGAAGATGGAGAAAGAAAAGAAGGAGTTCCTGCAGAAAGAGCAGGACCTGAAAGCAGAGATTGAGAAGCTCTGTGAGAAAGGCAGAAGGTATTAGTGTGAACAAGAAAGGGTTTGTTTTGGGGGGCGGGGTTTGTTTTGGGGGGCAGAAAAGGCATTGCTTAACCCTGATGTAAAGGGGTTCACTTCAAGCTTCTTAGACTAGATGTTAGGAAGAATTAACTGAAGGAGTGGTCAGGCCTCTCTGGTCTTTTGTTTGTTTGGGTGGGTTATGTCATTTGTTTCCTGTTGTGGATGGTTGGACTTGGTGATCTTGGAGGTCTTTTCCAGCCATGATGATTCTGTGATCCTTGGAAGCAGCAGGTGTATTGGCAGGTGGTTTGGGACAGACCTGTGGAAATCAGTGTTTTTACCCCATGGGCTTGGAAATGGTTTTGGATCAAGCTCCTTTAGCAGCAGCTCCAGCTGCCCAGCCCCTCTGTGTGTTGTGGGGAGCACAGCTCCCTGCCTGGAGCCTGGTGCTGTGCCCCAGCCCCCGGGCACTGCTGTGACACAGCACAACCCTTGGCTCTCAAACATGGATGGGGCAGCGCAGCCTCTGGATCGTGCCCTGGCACTGGGCAAGTGGCTGTGAGACCTGGTGGAATGTGGGACCTGCCACAGGTGACAGCACCTGCACAGCAGGTGACACTGTCCCTTGTCTCTTGTGCAGGCTGCTGAAGGAGCAGGAGGAGAAGGAGAACAAGATTGCTTCTCTGATTGCCGAGCAGTCGGATGAAAAGTGAGGCTCTTCCCTGGTACCAGATTAGTGCTGCTGGATCCTCTTTTCCTCCCAGTTGTTTGGCCTTGGAGTGGATCTGATGGCTGTGGTGGGGTGGGCTGGAGGAGTGGTGTGACACTGCTGTCCAAGGGTTTCATCTCCCAGCAGGCTGGTGTCCCCTTCTCTGGATTAAATCCTCTTTGATCCTGGTCACAAGCAGGCTCCTAGATCCTTGTGACATAAAGATCCCGTAGGATTAGAGTGGATTGGCTTGGCTGATAATTCCATCCCTCTGGTGGAGTTACAGCTCCCCAGGTTTAGGCAAACCTGCTCCTCTGTCTGCTCCTGGCAGCTCTGGACTCTGGAACACTGGGATGTGTTACAGCCGGGCAGAGCAGCTCCAGACCCTGATGCAGGAGCTCCTATAAGGCAGGTGGAGAAGGGGCAGCTTCATTCTGCCCTCGGGTCATCTCCTGGCTCAGACCTGTGCACCCTTCCCTGGAGCTGGGATGGGTTTTGTCCAGGGGAGTTCCCCCTTCCTCACTTTGCCCTGGGTATTGGCATAGTCTGGGGACAGTGACTTGCACATCCTTGGGAACTGTGGCTGGTGTTGGGCTCTTCTTCCACAGTTCCACTCCATCCAGATAAACAAGGGTTGTTGGCTTTTGAGGGGTTTGTCAGCTCTCCTGTCCCACACTGTCCCACTGTCTTAGCAAACTTCCTGTGTGCCTGTGCAGGCAGCTCTGGGAGATGGAGCTTGATAAGCTGAAGAACCAGCACAATGAGATCAACAGGAACATTCTGGAGGAGACGGAGCGGGCCTGGAAGGCAGAGGTTAGTGGGAGACTTCTTAGCTGCACTGCAGGTGTTGAAGAGGATTGTTTTGAGATCCCGGGTGGTTAATGAGGAGTTAAGGATGGGGCTAAGTCTGTGGGACAGGAGGGGTAAACAAGTGTCAGTGCAGTAAGTGTGAGCTGAGAGCAGTGCCCCAGGGTGTGGTGAAGAGGTGAGTTTGGCAGTGAGGAAGAGCAACTGATCTTCACGTGGGGCCTCTCCCTGCTAGATCCTGTCCCTGGAGAGCCGGAAGGAGCTGCTGGTGTTGAAACTAGAAGAAGCAGAGAAGGAAGCAGAGCTGCACCTCACCTACCTCAAGTAAGTCCTTGGAGTCTCATGGCAGATGACTCAAGTGTCCCTGTGAGCCCATCTTCCTCCACTTATTCTGGAGGTTTGACTGAACTAGTTCCAGGTTTCCTGTGGCTTTCTTATTGGAATAATATGGTGACACCATGTCCACTTCTCTCATGGGGTGTCAGTTGCTCCCACTTGGCTGGCAGTTGAGGGCATGGTTGCAAGTGGGAAAGTGTAGTTGTGCTTGCAGGTCTGCACCACCCACGCTGGAGACCATGAGGCCAAAGCAGGAGTGGGAGATGAGGCTGAACAGGATACGAATCACCAAGGAAAATGTCCGAGTAGGTTCCTCTGACCATTCCAGGGCTGAGAATGTTCTGCCCAGGCAGGAGGGTCATGCCTCCTCTGGGCACACGGTGCCCGAAACTGCCTCAGTGGCTTTGATAAATGCATCTGTTTTCTTTCTTCTTTGTTAGGATCAGTTCAACGACCACATTCAGATGGTGAGGAATGGGACGAAGCTGAGCAGCCTCCCACAGATCCCGACCCCCACGCTGCCACCTCCGCCCTCAGAAGTGAGTTCCTCTCCAGCTCTCACTGCTGAGAAGCTGCTGTGGGGCCTGGGGCAGCCCCACTGCCTGTGTCTTGGTGGGATTGTGTCCTCTGAAGCCCCATGCTTGTCCCCGTCTGTCTGGGCTGGCTGGTGTCCCTGGGGAGGAAGGGAAGGGGCTCCTTCCTGCACCAGCAGGAGCGTGGCTGGTGGTGCCTGCATCTCAGCCCCACAGCTGGCAGGAAGGCAGCCAGCTCGGTGTCCAGATGGGCTTATTCTAACCAGGCTTTTCCTCTTCCCCCTGTTTTTCTTCCTCAGACAGATTTCATGCTGACAGCATTCCAGCCCAACCCATCCCTCACCCCCAGGCTCCCATTCCCCATCGGACCAGTTCCCGTTCCCATGGTCATGCCAAGCGCCGACCCCCGGACGCTCTCCTTCCCTCTCCTCAACCCTGCCATCTCCAGGCCCAACCAGCCCTCCCCGCCACTCCCTGCTTCCCAGGGCAGGAGCAGCCCAGTGGTGGGATCTCTGCTGGGCACACACAGCCCTCACATGCCTCCTGCTGCCTCCATCCCTCCTCCACCCGGCCTGGGAGGGGTTAACGTGGCTCCCGAGTTCCACAGGCCGCAGCCAGTGGATAAGCTGGAGAAGCTGCTGGAGAAGTTGCTGACTCGGTTTCCACAGTGCAACAAGTAAGTCCAGGGTTGCCCTTCCCGGGGAGGGACAGAATTATAGAACAGTTAATGTTGGAATGAACCTCAAAGATCATCAGGTTCCAACCCCCCTGCATGAGCAGGGACACCTCCCACCAGACCAGGCTGCACAAGCACATCCAACCTGCCCTTAAGCACCTCCAGGGAGGGGACATCAGCATCCTCCCCGGGCAACCTGGTCCAGTGCCTTCCTGCCTTCATAGTGAAGAGTTTCTTCCTGATGTCTAACCTAAATCTCCCCTCTTTCAGTTTAAAACCATTATCCCTTGTCCTATCACTGCCCTCTCTGGTGAAAAGCCCCTCCCAGCTCTCCTGTAGCCCCTTCAGGCACTGGAAGGTGCTCTAAGGTCTTCCCAGGACAGCTTGGGTGCGGGACAGGGTGGGGAGGGTCCCCGTGGGCAGGGGCTGCTTAGTGGGGCTGGGAGCTCAGCAGCTGCTGTCCCTGCAGGGCCCAGCTCACCAACATCCTGCAGCAGATCAAGACAGCTCGAAGGACCATGGCAGGTCTGACCATGGAGGAGCTGAACCAGCTGGTGGCAGCCAAGCTGGCAGAGCAGCAGGAACGGGCAGCGGCCGGAGCACAGGTTAGAAAGTGCTTTTCCCCCCAGGGATGTGGGGTTCCTGGGCTGTCCCTTCCCCTCTGGGTGTTGCTGACATCCCTCTTTGCCTTGCTGCAGCCTCTCACTCGAATCCGGGCCCCCATGTTCTCTGCTCCTCTGCCTCAGATCAGCACCCCCATGTTCCTGCCCCCAGCTGCCTACCCCGGAGCAGCCTCCCACGTAAGGCTTCCAGACTTTCCTAGAGTGCTCCCAGTCCTGGGGGAAGCTGGCTGGGGAGGAAGCCTCTTGAGAAATGGCTCCAAGGATGAGCCAGTGAAGCTGGGACCTCTCTCCTCATGTAGGAGGGAAGGGTTAGGGGCATGGGTTCTTCATGTTCTGCATCAGGGGAGAAGGGCATGGACACGAGAGAGGTGTCAGGGGCTCTAACATCCCGTGGGCAGAGGGAGGAATGGGGCAAACTGTGGCTCCTGGCTGCAGCTGGTGGGACCAGTACCTGGAAGGTGGAGAATGTGACAGGTGCTGGGGTGTGTGACTTCCATGCCTGTCTCTCTGTTCCCCTGTCCCAGGCCCCAGCTGCCTGTAAGCTGTGTCTCATGTGCCAGAAGCTGGTGCAGCCTGGTGACCTGCACCCCATGGCCTGTTCGCATGTGCTGCACAAGGAGGTGAGTGGGCTTCCCTGCTGCGGGCTGCTCTGAGGTCCCTCCCAGTGCTGGTTCCCTTTGGGAGCCCTGGGCATGTGTAGGGAGTCCCTGTTGTACTGAGAACTTGCCAGGAGAAGGGTGTGATCAGTGAAGAGCTGCTCTTCATCCTGTCATCCCCCCGTTTCCTTACTAGGCCACCCTGAGTGGCCATTGGGTGGTAGCTTTAGGGACAAGCTTATTCCAGCCCCCAAGCTGGTGCTTGTTGCTGTGAGGTTTAGATTCTGCCTTCCTGGAGCAGAACAGTCTGGAAGGATCTAGAAAACAGGGTGAGGGAAAGATTTGCCACTGAAGCCTGGTGCTGAGCAGTGGTTCACCTGCATAGGCAAACCCCTCATGCCAAGGGTAACTGCTGAGGAAATGGAAAACCAGGCACTGAGGTTGCCTGCTGATCCTGCTGGGTTGAGTAGGGCTCCCTCCACATCAAACATCCTGATGGAGGTCATTGGAAGGAGCAAAATAAACTGCCCCTTAAAATGAGCCCCTGGCCAGCACCCTGCTGGAAGGCAACACCAGGTGGTGTTGGGGTTGTGCCGGTGGCTCTTGACTCGTTCTCTCTTTTCCAGTGCATCAAATTCTGGGCACAGACCAACACAAATGACACTTGTCCCTTTTGCCCCAGTCTCAAATGACGGCTCCTCGAACAAAGCGGTCCCGCCCGGGGGGTTGCTGTGAATAGACAGGATCAGTTCTAAGATTTCTACAGTTCTATATTTATACGACCATGTATACACATGTACATTTTTATTATATAGGTAATGTGTGTATAGAAAGTCTGTATACATACAAATTCATAAATAAAAGTGTGTATATTATGCAGTGATTTGGTGCTGCTCCTTATTTCTGAGTTTGCAGCCTCGCTGGTTCCCCTGGAGTGGGTGCTGAAGATCCCAGCATGCTGGGATGCTGGTGGCTGCCTTAACTGCCCCTTCCCACTGAGCTTCCAGCAGCTCCTCCAGGACACCCCACCACCCCATGCCCAGGAAACTGGTCCCCTGGACCTTTGTTACCCCCCCCGTAGCAATGGACACGGATGCAGGGCGGTTTTTGTGGTCTTTTTGTTGTTTTTTTTTTTAATGTAATAATAATTTACAGTGTTAACATTCATTGTTCTTACATAGACGATAGGTTACAAGAGTACTGGAGTCTACAGCCACAGCCTGTGCTCCCCAGCCCCTTCCGCGGGGCAGTTCCCACCCCGCATTCCTGGCCGGACTGCTGTGCGCTCGATGGAGCGCTTGGGATCCAGCGCATCCAGCTGCGCTGCAGCTCAGGATAACCAACCTGTTCCAGTTCCTAGTTTCCCCTCTCCTGGACTTTCTCCTAAAGCCGGGCTGACTCACCAACCCCTTTCTCCATGGATTTCAGTGGGATGACGAGGTGCTCAGCACCGCTTAAAATCTTGCACTTCTTCCAGAGAATTGATTGATTCCCCTCTTCCCTCCCCCAGATTTGCAGTTTGTGGCACAGCCGGGCAGGGCGAGAGGCAGCCAGGCCATGGGGCTGGAGGAGCTGCCTGCCTGCAGCCCCAGCCTCGGGGCACAGGCTGCCCAGCCTGGCTTAAGGCAGTGGTCCACAACAGAGTCCCAGGGGGTCCTGGAGGGGGGTCTGGGGCAGGCACAAGGGTGTGGAGGTCTGCGTGGCCCTCTGGTGGGGGGGAAGGGCTGGGTGGGTGCAGGTTTGGAGCAGGGGAGCTGGGTGCTGCTCGCAGTAGGAGTGAGGTTGGGAGGGTTGGGGGCTGTTCTGGGGTGCCCTGGGTTTGCTCCTCACGTGCTGCCTCTCGTGCTGCTTTGCCAAAGAAACACTTCACTGCAGGGTTTGGGTCGTGAGATTTTTGCTTGGTGATCACCACAGCCCTGCTGAGCTCCAGCCCTGCCCTCCTTCCTTTGTCCCTCCGTCACTGTCACCTCCTCTGACAGCAGCTCAGACCACCTCTGATCCACAAAGTGCTTCCAGCCTGGCCTTGGTTTGCAGCCAAGGCCCTGGGCATGAGCAGAGGGCTAAAAATATTTTAAAAAAAACCAACCCCAAAACAAAAAACAGGACCAAACCCCCTAAGGTTGGGTTTGGAACAGTGGCTTTCAGAGCTACAATTAAAAATAGAGATATATGCATATATTGTACAGGTGAGAAGCGACTGTGGGGGGAGTGACCTGCTATGTACACGCCCTGCGGCACCACCGGGGGACTCTGGTTATAAAAAAACCAATTAATGAAATAAATACACCCACGTGTTTAAAAAAAATAATAAAATATGTAGAAATGCTGTAGCCCCCACTGCCTGTCCCCAGGCTGCCAGCCAAGTGCCTCGGGAGCAGGAGCTGGGGTGAGGACACATGGATTGGGGTGACCAGGGCTTGCAGGGGGCAAGGAGGGAACCAGCCCCTGCAGGTTCCCCTATGGCTTTCCAATGGGAGGTGGGCACAGGGGGTCCTGGGGCTGGTGGCAGTGGAAGCACAGCATGGGAGGGCAGGGAAAACACTGTGGGAAATGGTGGAGTGAGTGAGGTATGGGGGAGCAGGAGGGCTGGAGGGGAAAATCCTGCCCAGGGCTGGCCCCTGTGGGGCTGTGGATGGGGGGGCTCAGGAGATGAGACTTCAGGGAGATGTGACCTCAGCAAGTGTCCTGGGCAGGGAGATGTGACCTCAGCAGGTGTCCCTGCACAGAGATGCCAGGCTGAGGGCTGAGAAGGGCAGCTGCACAAGGATGGGTAAAAGGGGTCAGGCAGGAGATGGCTGGAGGGTGGATGGAGCTTGGGACAGCTCGTCCTGGTGCCAGGGCAGAGGAGCTGCCCCAGCCCCGGGATGGGGTGGCTGTGCTCCCCCCTGCCACGTCCTTGCTGTAGGTCCCACAGCTGCTCCTGGCCCTGACAGCACCGAGACCCCCAGGCCAGGACTGCCCGAGCAGGGGGTCTGCACCCGCTGTCCCTGCCCCGCGCCCCGGGGCCGCCCCCGCGCTCTGCCCTCACTTCAGCAGGGAGATGTCGTCGGCGAAGTCGTCGTGGTCGCGCCGCAGGCAGCGGAAGCAGCGCCACTGGAACACCATGAGGCAGAGGGGCAGCATGAAGAGGGCGCAGATGGCGGCCATCACGTAGGCAATGGTCATCAGGGTGGACTCGTCCGTCTGCGGGATGTTGTAGCCGCAGTCCTCCATGTTGGGGTGCAGGTAGGGCCCCTCCACCGCCGCCGTCCGGAACTCGTCGTGCACTGCGGGGGGGAGAAGACAGAGCTCTGGCCACCACGTCCACGTCCCCTCTGCTCCTCCCTCCCCCCGGCCTGGTCCTCACCGTG